AAGCTGATGTAAAAATGTGGAGAACTGAACTTAATACTGGAAAAGTGAGAAACTGACAGAAACCAAAATGTACAGATTTGCCCATCCCTGGAGGAAACTGAAGGTAAGTTCAACAAATTCCTTGAATTGCCTTCATTAAGGTGAGTGCGAGAAAGATGGTGGCAGGTTTCTGAAAAACTGTCTCAACCAGAAGTTCCCAGGCTTGACTTCCAGAAAAAAAAAATGAGTCACACCAGTGAGTAACACATCATGTTGTCACAATTTTTTTAAAAAATAAAATACATATATCGCCTATGGAGGTTTTTTTTTTTAAAATACTCTTATTATCTTGACTCTACAGTAAGGCTCCTTACAACTGACTAAGAGGTAATACCGTAAAAAGTAGGTCAGTGAGAATGAGGAGATTACAGGCATGCCAGTTTAATCTCTGTGCTGGTATGTTTTATCAGCTGAACTGTACTTGCCATCAGCCTTGACAATTTCAGTATTAAATTTCCATTAAACTATTCTTAAAGCACATTTAAGACATATGGCTTCCGTCAAAGAATTCTGGGACCTATCATTTACTCCTCATGGTGCAACAATTCCCAGCTCCCATGATCCTTTGCAGGAGCCCCATGCTTTAAAAGTACAGTGTGGGCGTGACCTATGTGCCCCATCTTTTCCATTTCTTTTGCCTGCAATTCCCTTGCAGTTGAGCCATACAGTGCTGTCATAGGAGTCCCCCCAAAAGTGGGACTCTTTTAATAGAGGTTGGTTGGTTGTTGTTGTTGTTGTTTTTTCGTTTCCATTATCACTATTTTTTAAAAAAAGAACTGTCTGTACCAGGTCTCTTTGCTAATCCCCTCCAGATATTTCCAACTTTTAGCTATAAGCATTTGTGCTGCAGCTAGTAGGTGTTTGACCAGAGTATTGTCGCAACAGTCTTTATTCAATCTGTCCCAGACACCCCACAGAAAAGACTTACTGTTTTGTAATTAAATTAATTTCAGAAAAATCAGGTCCCAAAATTTGGCCACTGGTGGGCAGGCCCACCATAACTGGTAGCATAGGTTTTTTCCTGGATCTGCAGCACCAACATTGAGAAGAGAGATTAAGGATAAAACAGGAAATCTCAGTTGCGGTAAGGTGACCTTTAAATAGTGTTTGTAGTTTAATTATTTCACAACATTTATATTTTCCTTGGCTATAATAAACCCAAGCGCTACAAAAGGATTTGCAAAAATAAAATAAAAATTAAGAAGTTTTTTTAATGGTTTCCTGTATATGAGCTTAGATAAAAGAGAGAAGAATTTACCACATATTATTCCATCTGGCTAAATCATGTTTGGTATGTAGAACAATCTCCCAGCTTGTTTCCAACCTGACAAAGTCCTCTCTGTCTAAGGCTATTAAAATTTTTATATTACTGTGACACCTGGACCCTTGCTATGTTGTTTGATTGTATCTTTAATTATACAGTAAAAGCCTCCCAAATCTCTTGGGCAGTTTTGGGTTTTTACGTTGTTATTATTATTTTAGCAACAACAACAACAAAACCCTTAAGCCAAATATGGAATTTTCTACCTCTGGTGCTAAAATAATTTGACCAGCTCTGGGCACTGGGCACATTGGTGTGGGGCAGCCATTAACTCATGGATGTTTGCCTCTTAATTGAATGATTGTAAGTCAACAAGCACAACTCAGAACTTTGAGAACCTCAAGCAATAAAACTGCAGAAAATCTGCTGATTTCTTCTTTTCATATGAAGACTTGGGAACCTCTGGCCTTCATTACCCCTAGTTTCAATGGAGAGTGTGTCAATCTATTTCAGCTACAGCAGGAACAAAATAATAAGGAATAATGTTTGCTTATAAAATATCCCAGTACATATTTCCCATATTAGTATTTATAGAAACTGTTCGATTTGGGGTTTTGTGGGGGGTAAACAGTATTGAATCTAGCAGGTTACTACTAGATGCATTATATAACATGCATTATTACTCAGAACAGGCAAGGAATTTGATTCAGTTCACATTTAAAATCTACATTCTGTAGACACCATTCAACTCTCAAGTGATTATTTATTTAACCTCCTTTTTGGGCTCTCTCTTTTTTTTTACGTGTTTCCCTTCAGGGAAGGGAGGCATGGTGTATACACAGAGGCATTCCGCATTAGTTTTTCTTCTTCTTTTTCAAATCCCACCTTTGCAAAAACATCACTCTGTGCAAGTTGAGTCACATCCTTCACAGACAGCTGTTTTAAACAATTTAAAAATCAAAAGATGGTATCGAACCTTTGTTGAAACCAGGAAGCTAATATGTTTATTTTGAGTGATTAAGACATAATGCTATCTCACAGAAAGAATGCATCGGGGAGCTTTGTGTAGAGGATTTTTCTCTTTAAAAGCAGCAGCAAATCGTCAAATACGGGACTCTTATTGAACGGACCCAGAAAGAACCAGGTAGGAACAGCAATGGATGCTTGTATATTTGAAGATGAGAGATGGGTAGAGTTCAGAGATGGTACCAAACCAGAGCAGCGCACGGAAACGCCGTTTACCTTCCCGCAGTACCTATTTATCTACTTGCACTGTGTGCTTTAGGTTGGCAGGAGCAGGGACCAAGCAACGGGAGCTCACCCCGTCACGGGGATTCGAACCGCTGACCTTCTGATCGGCAAGCCCTAGGCTCTGTGGTTTAGACCACAATGCCACCCGCATCCCTGGAAGGCAGTGTACTCTCCTGCATTTGAGGTTTTTAAGCAGAGGTTGGATGGTCGTCTTACGCTGATATTCCTGCAATGGAGGGGGTTGGACTGGATGACCCTTGGGGTGCCTTGCAACTCTACAATTCTATGATTCTAATATTACATGGGGGGATCTATGCTTGGATCACCCCGCATCATTTTCTTCTTCTAAAAGCAGCCACAGCATGGGTGGGAAGGTGGAGCCCAGCCATTTCCCCCTACACCAGGTGCCCTGAGGAGAACAGTGAGGATAGTGAGATGTCTGGAAACCAAATCCTGTGAGGAATGGTTGAAAGTGCTTGGTATGTTTAGCCTGGAGAAGAGAAGATTCAGGGGAGCCGTGGTGGTGGTCTTCAAATGTCCGAAGGGTTATCGTGCAGAAATTGGGCCAGATTTGTTCTCTGCTGAGGAGGAGGACAAGCCTAGAACCAATGGGTGGAAATGCAACTTCTTAAGAGTAAGATCTGTTCTACAGTGGAGCAGACTTCCTCAGGAGGGATCAGGCTGTTCTTTGCTAGAGGTTCATACAGGGATGAGTGACAGCCTGTAGCTGCTTTATGCTTTGGAGTATGGGGTTAAACTAAGGTTACCAGATTTTTTTTCAACTTCAATGGGTTTTGTATGGGGACTGAGTTGTAAATCCAGGGACTGTCCCCTGGGAAACGGGGATATCTGGTAACCTTAGGTTAGACTACATGGCCATCATGGTACTTTCCAACACTAACATTCTGTGGTACCCCTTTGCAAATCACTCCTCCCTTCCTAAGCTGCTCTTAGCTGGAGAGAGACAAATGTATCTCTACTATATGGATTTATTAAATATACACAAGGGTATCCAATCCCACGTTTCCCATGGGAATGTCTGCTTAGGCCCTAGCACAGCAGTTGAGAGTCTTTGGCCCTCCAAATGCTGCTGAACTACAACTCCCATCAGTCAATGGCCAGGGATAGTGGAAGTTTTTTATTCAGCAACATCTGGTTGGCCAAAGCTTCAGCACACCTACCCTTGCAGGACTTTCAGAGGCGTGGGAGGATAGTCTAAGGGGTTTCAACAGGGTTGTGCTTAACAGATGTGTGCGCTATTTCCAGAATCAACTCCTACCACTTCAAAGCATGAGCCAAAAACCTATTTGTATAAAGGTGAAACAGCATCTTCAGATTGTATATTAAATCACAGACTTGCTCCACAGCCAAGAAAGGGGTTATGAAGCAGTTCCATAGAGCTTTATTGCTCTTATGGTCAGAGGACTGTTAAGATATGATCATGGGCTCTACTGCAGCTATGGGAGGGAAGTAATATCCTCTGCTTTAAGGAAAAGACTGGCAACTCTCTTTCCTTGTATCTACCCTTGAAAAAACAGTGCCTCTTTGTTGTCGTTTAGTCGTGTCCGACTCTTCGTGACCCCATGGACCAGAGCACGCCAGGCACACAGTGCCTCTAGCTTTTGCCTTTGGGGATATTAACAGTTTTATAGTGAGTTGCTAGCTTTGTAATCTTTCAGTGTTCACGTTACTCCCCAGGTAAGCTCACTTTCAGAGGCAACCTGTTTATTTGAGCATTCATCCTGATACATTTGAATGAAGTTTGTGAGGAGGAGATTAGATGGCATCAGCTACTTATTGAGCATTCATTCTAAATTTGTTTCTGGGGAGGTTAGGCGATGTTGCATCAAGCAGTTGTTATCCCACACTTCCCAGGGCCTTTTGTATCCTGTTACTTTCTTTATCACCAGAAAAAAGTTATCCCATTGCATTCCTTACTGCAAAAAGTCTCGGTTTTGGGAGGGAAGTGGCTCTTTGTACAAGGGCTCCAAATCCACTTTAACTGTACAACCTAAATTTGCCAGCATAAGATTGAATGCCACCCTGTAGGTTCCATGGGGTCGAAACAGGCCGCCTTGCACTTTGTAAAAGTGTCATGCATATTGATAACACTAAATAAGTATTATCATAATCAACGATAACTGGAACTTAAGTCATCAACATCATCATTATGCTGTGCATCTATTAAGGTCAACTGAGCTCTACCAGCAAGTCTAGCAACACAACAGCTGGTGAAGATAGAAGATCCCAGATACAAGGGGAGATCAAGGATTTGCCATCCTGCTGATACCAAGAGGATTCGGGGGAAATACTTTTTTGCCATTGATATTACATTTTGCAGCACAGATAACAAAAGAATTGAGACTGAAGCAGAGGATTTGTTGCTTGGACTCAGAGCAGAACCACTCAGGAGACACTTCAGAGCAGGATTACAGAAGCAGCAACCACAATGTCAATGGTGCCCTTCTTGTTAGCTGTGTGGCTGCTTCTACTGCCTGTGCTGCTACAAGGTGAGTGATGGTGTGGGGCAGGGGTGCCAGCTTGAAAATATTGGGGACCCAGGTAAGCCCCACCCTGCATAATCAGTCACAAGACTCAGTGCACAGACACCATTTGAATGGCAATGCCCATCAACTTGGGAAGCGAGGTGGCCCCCTCAAATATTTTATGGGGGGGCTGAAGGGACCCTGGTCCCTAGGAGTTGGCTTCTATGGTGTGGGGAGACAATGGAGGGAAGGTAATTGAGGATGAGAGAATCAGTCACTTCTCAGGGGAGTTAAAATGGGAGTAGGAGAAGCACTAAGCCAAAAAAGGAGATGCATGGTTTATAAGTGCAAACAAAGGAGTTTCTCACACACTGGCCTTTCAAGTGGAACTCATATTCCTTTCCGCTAGGGAGACAAATGTATGTCAGCAGGTAGTGGCCTTGTTCTCATGTAATGTTCAGCTATGGTTTGTTAACTATGGTTTGTTAGCAAACTGTGGTTTGATGTTGGCTTAACTAGTTTAGCATTACTTGTGAACCTGGATAGTGATTCTTGGTTGAAAAATGACTCTACTCTAAGGTGTGCTCATTTGCCTTACCTATGGCTCTTTCTCTTTGACAAGTTGGACTAGCAGGATTTGAAATCCAAGTCTCTGTTCTCATTAATGTTCTAGTTGTTCTGGCCCATCTTTCACTGTGTTATAGCTGACTTGATGTGTGTATGTGTGCGGAAGGGTTTTTTTTGGCTCATAGTAGTACTTGGCAACAGACAATTAGCCTTCTCTGGGCCCAAGGTTGGCCCAAGACATGTAACCACCTGAGGCAAAGAACAAGGTGGTGCCGCCTCCTTATTCCACATAAAGAAACCAACTGAACTGGCAGCCAAATTTTATTTCAACACTGGCCATAGGTTCACACCCTTCCACTGCAGCTGAGGAAACAGATCAGATTTAGTTCTGTGGCACAGAGGAAAATGGTAGGTTGGAAGGTGGTACCTCAGGTAAATGAGTTGAGGGCTATTGCCCCCTAGTATGTACGAGGCTGACATTTGACATTTCCTCTGTCCTGTGGCACAGAGGAAAATGGTGGGCTGGAAGGTGGTACCTCAGGTAAATGAGTTGAGGGCTATTGCCCCCTAGTATGTACGAGGCTGACATTTGATAACTATGCAAAACACTTACTTACTTACTTACTTACTTACTTACTTACTTACTTACAGTACTTACTTACATAAAATACTTAACATGCTTCAAGATAGAGTCTTGGTGTTAGAAGCATGCTCCAGAGCTAAAGTCCCGATGAGTCTCTGTTCAAATTAAGCCCTGTAATAAGCTCTACCAATTTGGCTAGGAAAATATACTCATAACATATGTGTCACAATACAGAGCTGTATTCTTTTTTTAAAAAAATACATTGTTAACAGATTGTAACCTGAGCCTCTTCCTCTTTCTCCTACATAGGCACCTGTTTTTCAGTATTTGTGCTTCAGTGTCTCTTATATGAAAAACTGAAATGTTTTCCCTTCATTTTTGTTTTCTACAGATGCTGCCAGCTCTGAAGCAGGTAGGAACCCCTGTATATTTTGTCTTTCCTACTCAGCAATTTCACAGGCTCATGGATGGGCTGAACCAAAGGGAAGACTCATCAAAATGTAGGGCTGCTATAAACCTAATGATCATGCAGACCTATTGTTAAACAGGAGCCTCAAGGCGGATTTAGAAATATACTTAATAAATAAATAAACTGAATATTGCTTCAATTGCTTCAATATATGGTGAGCAGCCTTGCTGCAGTTAGAGGCACTATGGCTCTAAATATGATTGACTGGAAACCATTATCAATAACTGGAAATGTTCTTTAAAAGGTCGCATACAAATATTTGGTTTTTGTTTCAGGCAAGCTTTTTATGTTTGTTTCCGGATGTGCTTCAGTGCTGGTGTTATTGTGACCTATCTTTTTAAAACCTCTTTCCTTCTTCCACAGTTTGTGGAAAGCCAGCTCAACGAATTATGGGGGGTGAACCAGCTCCCTCTGATGGGCTGTCATGGCCCTGGCAAGTCAGCATTTTATATCGGGACCAACCTATTTGTGGAGGTGCCCTCATAGCCGAGAAGTGGGTCCTGTCGGCAGCTCACTGCTTCCCTAAGTAAGTTTCTAGTGCAGTGTTTCCCAACCGGTGTTCCGCGGCACACCAGTGTGCCGTGAGACCTTGCCTGGTGTGCCGTGGGAGGGAGGCGGGAGAGGCGGGGCGGCGGCGGCATCTCCTGCTGGATGCAAATCCAAACATGGCGGGCGCCTCCCTCGCTCCTTTGTAGGCGGACCATCGAGAGAGAAAGAAAAGGAGGCGAAAGAGTGAGAGAAGGCGCCTGCGCGGAAAGAGGAGCGAGCAGTGCGCCTGCGCGCCGCGGCGCCCGAGATCGCTTCTCCCCACCGCCCCTTGCTTCAAAAGAGGTCCGGGGACAGCGGGAAGCGCTTCGCGCTGCCCCCGGACCTCTTTTGAAGCAAGGGTTTGCGGGGAGAAGCGATCTCCCCGCAGCCCCTTGCTTCAAAAGAGGTCCGGGGGCAGCGGGAAGCGCAGCGCTTCTTCCCCGCTGCCCCCGGACCTCTTTTGAAGCAAGGGGCTGCGGGGAGATCGCTTCTCCCGGTGCTCCGAAGCGGGGCGGGGGGGCGGGAACACCTGCCCCAGCCGCCCCGCTTCGGAACGCTGCTCCGAAGCGGGGCGGGGGGGCGGGAACACCTGCCCCAGCCGCCCCGCTTCGGAGCGCTGCTCCGAAGCAGGGGCGGTGGGGCGGGAACCTCTCCCCCCGCCGCCGGGCATCGGAACGATGCCCCGATGCCGGGCGGTGGGGCGGGAACCTCTCCCCCCGCCGCCGGGCATCGGAACGATGCCCCGATGCCGGGCGGTGGGGCGGGAACCTCTCCCCCCGCCGCCAGGCATCGGAACGATGCCCCGATGCCGGGCGGTGGGGCGGGAACCTCGCACCCCGCCGCCGGGCATCGGAACGAGGTCCTGGACCTCTTCTGAAGGCAGGCGGGGGCAAAAGTCTTTGCTCCCCCCGCCTGCCTTCCCGGGACAGCGGAGACTTCTCCGCTGCCCCGGGCGATCTTAAAATGCTGGCGGGTGGGAGCGAAGCGTTCGCTGCCGACCCCCAGCATTTTAAAATCTCCTCGGGGCAGCGAAGACTTCGCTCCCGCCCGCCAGCATTTTAAAATCGCCCCGGGACAGCAGGGGCTTTTAAAATGCTGGCGGTCGGCAGCAAAGCCCTCCTGTCCCCGGAGCTTGCGGGGCGGGAGGTGGGAAGAAGGGCTTTTCTTCCCACCGCCAGCCTTCAGAACAGCCTTCTGAAGGCTGGCAGTGGGAAGAAAAGCCCTTGTCCCCCCCCCCAGCCTTCAGAAGAGGTCGGGGGACAGACTGTCCCCGGACCTGGTCTGAAGGCGGTTTCCCTAGGAACGCATTAATTGATTTTCAATGCATTCCTATGGGAAACTGTGCATCGCAAGACGAAAAACTCGCAAGACGAAGATGTTTAGTCGTGGGTTGACATAGCAGCCGGCACAGCGATTTCTTCAAGTAGCTCTTTATTATGGTAAGCTGGAATACAACTGACTGCGACAGCTCAGCCGGCCTGTATTTATAGGCAGCCGGCTGTCAACATTGTAACCACAACAGCCCAGAGTTCCCGCCTAAAA